AAAGGTTCTAATTGAATTACTTTATTTTTAACTGTACCCCGACCAAACTGAAGACGTTTTTTTATTTGAATAATAAAATTCATAATATTTTTTAAATATGTAAATATATAGTATTGTATATAAGCACATTCAAAAAAAACCTATCATCAGGTTTTCAATTATATTTTGTACTAGACAAAATCAGTTTAATTTGTTCAGAATTGTGTTCAGTATGAAATATAATTGAAAGCTTGATGACAAATTTTTTTTTAAACATACTTATATATTAATCTTAAAAAAATTCTTACTATGTATATTAAAACTATTGTTCCAATTTAATTCTATATTAACACATTCATTTTTATGACAATCACAGAATAAGCAAAAATATTTGAGTTTGCTGCATTAAGTCCTAATATAAGTGCTAAAAACTTCTAATCTCCTGAAAAAAAAAATTCCACAGGCCATATAGTTTCAAAACTATCGACAAATCTATTATTTTTTAATTCTTCAAGCTTTTTAGTAAATTTTTGATAAACACAATTCAATGAATTATAATTTTCTTTGCCAATATATAGACAAATACTTTAAAATAAAAAAATAATAAATAAATTAAATAATAAAATAGAAATAATAATAATAATAGTTTTTTACCTATATACATGATTCAGACTTAACACTGCTTTACCTTTATTTAATATACTAATTGCAAATATGACATGACTTTGCTTTCTACCAATATTTCATCCATCTCCACTAATTTTTATATTAATTTTATCACCAGAGCAAAGAATAACTAGATTTGCTATAGTTAAAGTTGGTACCAAAACTATTAATAAAGATTTAATTGATCTATAAACTGCATTTTCCATTTTACAGTTAATGTTAAATAAAACTATTGGTAAATGTTGTTTCATTTGATTATTAATATTATTACGTTGTTGTCAAGTAAATATTCCTGAACTATATTTGAATCTATAGCTGCCAGTTTTTGATATCTATTACGAGAAATTAATGCTTTGTCACATATTCGAATAAGAGAGTTATAATATTGTTTCTTGTTTTCATTTTTAAGCTCATAATCAAGAATTATATCTTTATCCGCAATTTTAAGCTTTGCTAATTCAAGTTTTACTATATTAGTACCTAATGAATTAACAAATTAATGATTATAAAAAAGTTCTGCTATTTGAATGTTTAAATCTTTTGCTGCTAATGCAATTCATTTGTTCTTTTGTGAATCAGATTTTAATTCCATATAAGGAAGTTTGCGATTGGTAGAACCTTCTATTCTTGCTTTATGCAAACAATCAATATCGAATCCAAATAAAGATAATCCAAAAATTTGAGTTTTTCATTTATTACAAATATCCTATAAAATATTTTTAGTTAAAATATTTAAAGTATAATTTTTTTTTATTTAATTTATATTTACCATTAAAAATTTATTCCCAACAGTAGTTGCAGAGATTGTACTACTGCTTAATACTGTATTACCATAAGGATTCATCCAGTTAATTATATAATTGAGTTGGGGTCATTTTATCGACAATCATTTTCCCAACATATTATTTTGCCGACAATCCTTTTACTGAAATAGTCATTTCCCTGATATATTAATTTACCAACAACCCTTTTACCTACAGAATCATTTTACCGACAGTCATTTCACTGACAGTCATTTCACCGACAGTTAGTTTACTGACAGTTATTCACAGACAACTATTATTATTATTACATAATTTATTACTTTGCATCTAAAATGCTAATACTCAAATTTTTTTCCAGCTATTTTACATTTGATTAAATTAATGACTATTTGTGTATTCCCGTGAGCACCACTTTTCCTTTATTCTAACATTTTTTAAATAGTTCTTGTACTAGCACTATGTAGTACTTGTGCTTCACATAATATTCTTAAATAATTAGTGCATCTTGAGATGAATTGTAAAGTTATTTAAATAATTTGAACTTAAGAGCTCAAATACAAAACTAATTAATTTGTAAATTCCTTTATAATAGCTAATAATAAGTCTATTATTAGTGTCCATTCGGTCATTTAAAAGTCATTTGAGAACTAGGAAAACATATTATTCGATTTAAAAGTGGGATAGGCTGTCAAAATATTCAACGGTATGTCTTTAAGCTAGAAGGTGTGATCATTTTTATTTAACGTTAATATTTAAAAAGCATGTTAAACAGATGCACTTTTTTGATTGGTAACATTAACTAATATATATTGTAGATATATGTAAAAGCTAGGTTTGAAACTGTGAAAAATTATACCAGCAGTTAATAGCGTCGCTTAACGAATCCATATTGTATTTATAGTTTTTTTTTCTGAGGCTTAGCACTTCTTTTAGTAAACAACCAATTTCAACCTTAGTTTAATCGATCTTTTTTTGTTTCAATTCAGAGTTACTTTAATAATAAGGTTAAGATTTGAGAGGGTCATAGTGTCAAAAAAATGGGTGCTAGCTAATTTATAGTTACTTAATTAGCGAAGAGGAAAAAGGTCATTTAAGTACATTGTTTCCGGTCAAGCCTTTCAACTTTTTGACTTTGATAAATTCAATTATAAATTGATTAATTATCCCTTTTTTTATTTTGTTGATTTTGATAAATTTGTTCGATCTCATATACTTACGCTTTTCTTTATATCATTTAATGCTAATATGATTTTTGAGGTTTGCTAGCAAATAAAAGAATTAAATGTTTTGTGATACGCTGATTGTGCAGCATTTCCAGCTAAAGATAGGTCTGACTTCTACCAACCTATAGCAATTGCACGAATACTAGAAACAGAGTATTATGTAGTGATAGGCCACGCAACAGAGAAGACTTTTTGCTTGCGTATGTGTTTATTATAAATACCAAATATATGAAGCCATCTCATTACGTGTTTTGGGTTTTCTTTTGTTACATTGCTGGTAAGTAACACTTCTAACGAATTTGGGGAGATATATTTTCTGAATCAGATATCTCGGAGTCTTATATTCTCATAGACAGAAGTTTGTCTGATTAGCTAATAAATTCAATTTAATTTTACATTATTTATACGGTTTAAAGTATTTTTTTGAAAAACAAAAACTAATTATAATAAAATAAAAAAAAGCTATATGGACTCCATAGTTAAAAAAGTTAGTACAGTAATAACTTCTCAAAACCCGATAAAATCAACTTATCACTAAGCTAATTTTTTTAAATAGACAATAATTAGATCTTGACTATAGAGTTCTACAGCTCTAATAAAACCTTATATACAGTTTTTTTTTATTTCATTATGATTAGTTTTCGTTTTTCTTAAACCATATAAATAATGTAAAATTAAATTGAAGTTATTAGCCAGTCAGACAAACTTCTGCCTATGACTCATATTCTCTTACTTTGATTACACTCTGACACAAAATATTCAACTCTACCAGGATGGCCTTCAAAAATACAGGCCATGTGGTGGCGTCACCTATGTTCAATATGCGCAATATGCAAATATGCAATACAGGATTAAAATTTCACACTATAAACTCAACTATAGCAGGTGGCACCACCAAATTACGTATATTTTTGAAGGCCACCCTGGTAGAGTTCAAAATGTTCTATTGTCTGCAGCATTCCCTAACAATATGGACATTCTCCATTCTCGGTACCAGTTTATGGATTAGTTTGTAACCTAAGGTAAGGCTCTGTGTACTAATCGATGTAAATGTCTTTTAAAATATAAATTCAGTTTGCTAATTATGCTAATTTTACTAGCTATTTTGCTAGCTATATTTGCTATTAATGACCCCTGGCTTTGATGGTAATTTATCTTTATATGTGCGGATTTTCACTAATTGGACCCTGAACCTGAATAGAGCCACTAAATTTGGGTTCACCCCCCATTTAATTTTTTGATTTGTCTAGCGAATTATTAGAATGATTATTTTGATTTTTCAAGGGTCCATTCTGCAAGGATTTAATAAATATGCACAAAACTCATTAGATTATTGTCTAATTATTAGTCTAGGCCTACTGAAACATGCAGTTTGATATTGTTATTGTAGACGGTAAAAATAAACTTTTTGTCTTAATCTCTCAGACAATTGTATTGTCAATAACCTGTTTTACTATAAATTTTTTTTTTTTAGGGATATATTCTTTTGAGAAATAACTTTTAAAAGATCTGATTTTGCATAAAAAAACTATAGCTAAACACGGATTTCACCTAACATGATTTATATAGCAGGTTTTACTAATTACGGTATGGGTTTCACCCTTTCCCATTATGATTAACATCTCCATTATTATAATACCGATACGTATACAACTTTAATAGAATTAATGCAATAGCCTTAAATAGATAAAGATGTAAGAGATAATTAAAGTCGTAATTATTATGATAATTTATAATAACCTTAAAATAAAAATCAACAAATATGAATAGCCTTAATGTTAAAAAGTATGAAATCCTTAACACCTTATTATTATAATAATCGATACCAATCCTAAAATGAAAATTAATCATGAAATATGATTAATCTATTGTGATACGTACGTACGTATGATTAATACAATTCTTAAAATAAAAATTAATCGACATAAATAGCCTTAAATAGACGATGATATAAAGTATGTATATGTACATAGTGCAGTAGTGTTACTATTGTTTTATAGCGATAGTGATAAAAGATATTGTCCAATAATAAAGTGGAATAAGGATCAGTTAACTAATTTAATAGAGATCGGGCATTTGACCGATTTAAGTGATAGTCGCAATTATGTACGTACGTAATAATTTTAATTTAACAGATCAATTTAATGTAATTAATTTAATAAAAGGACGCTTACTAGTAATTAGTAGTATAATGATTAACAAAATATAATGATACTTCAAAGTAATAAAAGTATTAACAGATTTTTAAGTATAATAATGATATTTTAATTTTTAGAAGGTTGATAATGACAAAATCATGCAAATACTTGAGAATCGATTCTTGTATCTAACTATTTAAGATATTGAAGACTAAAGAATTTATTAAAGGCCCGAAAACACTTCTTTTATAGTTGACGAACCATTAAGAATCAAATTTTTTAGATCCTTGAAACTTTAGTTTCATCTGTTGACATGGTTGCTACTAAGTTTCAGCGATTCAAAGTTTCGCTACATAACAAAAGGACTATCACCTTATCTGAGTTACAACTAGTGTTCCAAGTTGATAAAAATTTTGCTAATCAACTAGTTGTCAACTATAGTTGCAACTAATCAACTTTGTATCATATGACTAAATTTGTTAATTAACCAATCAAATCAAAGAAATTAGCACGAATTAGCACAAGTTAGCCTGAACAGACAGAA